TGAGACTTAATTTGATCTTGATTAATAGCTAAGATTGCTAGCTGTATATCAGATTCATGAGAGACGTTGTGGGCTTGATTTGATAGGGCCATAGTTGATCAGAGTTAGAGAGGTGCGCAAAGTTGGTGGGGTGGCCCGCTCGCTTGTATGGCCCGCTCGCTTGTAAAACACGTTAATCATAAAATGATCCCAGACTTTATAGCCTGGGTGCATACTGCTTACTATCAGTAAGCGGGTAGGGCTGGAGTGGCTGGCTTGGCATGGGTGAAGTGGCCGACTTGGCTCGGTTCTGACATCCGATACTAGGTATCGTGAAAACCCCTGTTCTCCTAGGCAACACTGCTTAGTCACAATAGCATTTCTCCGCACCCCGCAATCTGAACCTTGACAAACCCGTAAAAGTAAGACATCTTTATTAATCTACACTCCTTCCAAGACCGCCCAGGGCCATCGTCCTGCCTCGTATCACTACATCCAAGCCTTTAACATTTACTCCTTTGAGATGTTTAAGAATAGAACATCACTACACTTTGTTTGCAATTGTATCTTGTCTAACCTATAACAGCAGGCTTTCAAATGTCCTCTATGCCAAATAGAATGCGTTCCTAGCTCGAAGAGAACTATACTGTTAGAGCTCTATGATAGATAATACACTTGACAGTTGTAGAGATGGGCATCGTTGGATCGTTTATCCTTATTGTGGGAATTTATGGGGCCAAATGATGCTACCTGCCTAGGCAGAATAGGGTGGCATACATCGTGTATAGAATTCAGCTGCTTACTGTGGAGAAGGCGCATGTCGGTGTATGATGCCACATGAGGAGAATGGCCACTTTCACTTTGATCTTCCACCATGCACTGGGTGCACAACACTCCCCTTCCGTAGTCAATGAAGGCAGATGACCTGGTTCCGTCTTATGAGCCAACATAGAAGAAAGCAACGGAGAAACAAGTATATAAAGGCATCCGTTTCTCCAAGTATTTTCATCACTGCCACTTCAATCTAAAACCCTCTCTACTCCCATCACCAGACATCTTACGCTTATAAAGTATCTTCGCTCAATCTCTTGATCTTTTCAGAATGCGTTTTACCGCCGCCACCTTTGTTCTTGTAACTGCTGTCCTCCCGCATGCCTCTGCGTGGACCGTATGGGTAAACTGGAAATCCCAATGCGGAGGCAACTCCTATCGAGTGGATGGAACTGGCAGCACTTCTTGCCAGTTGACCAATGTTCCAGCCGATCAGAAAAAGCCTATATCTCTTACTCTTACCAATGGCCGCAATTGTGTTGGTTATATGTATGGAGACCGAAACTGTGGCACACAAGTATGTAGTTACCTTCTCTCTACTTTTTGGGGATTTTTATCCCAAGATGATAATACATCCAGCGGTAGTACAATACTAATCAGGCAACTGTGGCATCTAGGTCGGAGGAGCGGTTGGTAATAGCGGCACAGTATGCTCAGCTGACGTGGATTTCCAGTCCTGGAGGGTCGTCTGCTCATAAACTCGACACAGACACTTCAGACGTTGGGCTCTATGGGAGGATTTCAATAGCAGAGAAGATACAAGCAGCTTTTCTTTTTTCTTTAAGCTTTTCAACAAAGCTGAGTCCTTGTCTCACTACTATCAGTGAATCCTAGCTATAGCGAAGTAAAGTGGATTTCTAGAACGTTGACTCTTTCGCCTATTCGCAGTGAAGTACAGACATCATAACACTGAAAAGTGTCCTAGAATGATGATCACAGAGAAAATAGCACCACGGAAAATGACAATTACAATCGTCGTCGTGGGAGCAATAAACCAAAATCGAAAGTGCAGTTCGGTAGACTTAACTCAAGTACTGATACCATCCCTTCTTCCTGTCGCAGATCCATAGGCCCTAGCTTCAGTGAATAAATAAAGGGCTGACCATATTCAGCTGGTATGTTTGAAATGCCTCCTTATCGAAAACTTCTATAACATAATCTCAGCATTAACTATAACGCTCTCCTGCATATGATAAGTAACAGAGTCTCTCTAGTTTATATTGAATAATGTTCGAAGAGGAAACATATTTTCGTCGAATTCTTAATGGAGTGATTGTAAGAGTTATGGAACTAAGCCCAGCCTTTAGCTCTAATAGTATACCTTCTCCAAAGAGCACTTAGATGACACGCTTAGAAGATGAAAAGTAATATAGTTACTATGTAAATGAGTCAAACTAGATCTACATCTCTAGCTCAAGGTAATTACGAGAACGAATACAGTTCTGTACCAGGCGTTGCATTTGAAGAAGCAATGCAATGATGACGATGGGAGATCCGAAGAACACGACATTATATCATGGTATGTAAAGGAAATGGACAGCAGCCTTCTACAAAAATGATGTGTGAGCTGGCACTAGATTCTCGCAGCCTTGTCGTGCAGATACGAGTAGGAAATGTCTAGCCCTTACGCACACGCTAGATCGGAGAATGTATACACAGCGTTTGTACGCGGCTCATCCATATTGCCAGTCCATACAATGCGCGCAACAGGGAGAGCGTGTAGTTCACAGAATGGCCCAGTGACCCCGTAGCTGGCGCAGGTACCCAGGCTGCGGCAGAAATTTCGGCAGAGATTGGGATCAAATGGGGCGCCGCTCGCCATGCGAATATTGCGTTGGGGTATTACGGTGAGTATTCTGGGGCTCACGACATTGCAGAGAACGGGCAGAGGCGTGGGTGTCTCAATCGGTGTCGGCGTCTCGATGGGCGTGGGTGTCTCGATGGGCGTGGGTGTCTCGATGGGCGTGGGAGTTTCAATTGGAATTGGAGTCTCGATGGGAGTAGGAGTCTCAATCGGTGTCGGCGTCTCAATGGGCGTGGGTGTCTCGATGGGAGTAGGAGTCTCAATAGGCGTCGGAGTCTCGATCGGTGTCGGAGTCTCCATTGGTGTTGGGGAGTCAATTGGCGTGGGTGTCTCAATTGGTGTCGGACTCTCAACTGGGACTGGACTGCTGACTGGTGCATACAACTGAAGAGACGTGGATGTGTCGGTGGAAATTGAGTAGACAGCTAAGGATGGGTAAGGGGTCGGTGATACAGAGGGCATACTACTGGTCGCATTGCTATAAGAGTAGCCCAAGCTTGCTGGTGTGGAGGAGGTAGATTGTAGAGACTCGCTACAAGGTATTGAGGTTCGAGAAGTGACGACAGGTGCAGGGGCACCAAAAGAGAGACGAAAAGTAGTGCACATTGCAACTAACCGAAGGAGTGAAATTGGCATTTTGAATATTAGAATTAGTGGCTTATTTAGATTAGGATCATCAACGGAATGTAAAGACTGTAAAAATGCTCGAAAGCATGAGGTTGGAGAGGAGGAAAGAATGGGCGTGATGGCTAATTATAACTGTCAACAAAGATAGTATGCAACCAAGATAACATGAGGAGGGGTCCTAAACATCCGTGCGTTGGGCGTTTACAATAAATGCTGTTAGTCTGGCTCGCAAGCAGACGGAGCGGCCGATGGTCATTACTAGTGCACAGGATGGAATTCGCTTGGAGTTACTTCTTGCTACGCGATTCTGCCAAACCTATCCAGATATCATTCACCCCGCATCTATTTCTAATAAAATCAAGCTCTTTGTGGATTAAATCAACTAACTGTTTACTCGAGAAGTACAGTTTTCTCAAAAAGAGGATTATATGCTGCTACGTTTAATTGTACATCGCATGTTCAAGACAATAGGTACTAAGTTCTTTCCAAAGAAGGCGGACTAGCGCAAGCGCCACCAGATGTGGCTGCATTCTAGATCTCAGGGGTTTTGTGGGCAGGTCCCTAGGCATAAGCCCCTAGCAATCCGCTGCTCTTTAATGAGTTAATTCGATTGAATATTCGCCGGGCGAATGATCTCCACCAAAAGCCACGTTCCTTGGCACATCGCTTGGCCAATTGAGCGAAGGTTTCATCTTCACTTTCGATGTTGTGGTTGGAACATCCACAATCCGACGTGGTGAATCTTTCTAACTCTTCAGAACCCCAAATCGGGAGTACGCAGGTGCCTCCATCATGTCTTTCAGCATTTTGCTGGGAGTAAGTGCATATGTGGTCGCTGGATGGTTGTAGCGACTTTATTGGATCAGCCAGCAGCTTTGACGAATGTCGTGAGGCCCTTGTCAGTCTTTCTTTGTGATTTTGATCCAGATCAATAGATATTCGTTGAATCCAGTCACTTGAATCGCAAAAGATCGCAAAGTTATGATCAAGGCTGCATCTGGTGGTGAGGAAAGGCCTTGGAGAAGGTGACGACCTGACGTAAGTCGTAATGGACGAAAACAATCGCAACCCAGTCGATTTTGATGGGATTTTAGGTGATCAGAGCATTTCATATTATCAAAAAAATACATGTGCCATCACTTTCTCCCGCTGCTGCTATGCATTGAAGGCCGAAGGCACTGCCACAATGTGGCGATGCAAGGCTGAACAAGCGCAAAAATGGACTCATTTCTTTGCATCGCTACTTCAAGACAACGAGCGACCATGCGCATGATTTTCAAACACTCAGAGTTGTTGAATAGTATACAGAAGGCTGGTAGGTGTAAAATAGATGTACATCGCACTTAGACAGTATCAACGCAATCAGCCCATTCACACTCAGTAGCGTCTGAGCGAGGGAAAGTACAATGATTAATCAGCACAATATAATTACTCAAACCCCATTTACATTGTTAAAATATTCTCAAAATCTATTTCATTTACAAAGAGATACTACCAGAGAAAAATCAAAATCCTCGCACCTACCTCAACACCCCCTTCTACCCAGCCAAACCCATCCCAACCATATACGCGCGATAATCTGCCTCGCATTCCGCACCCAACCCCTCACTCCTCACTTCCACTTCCTCATCTTCGCCCTCATCTCCGCCCATCAGCAAGTCTTCAAGTTTCGGCACCGGCACCGGCAGCATCTTTTTCCCCTCTTGCTTAAGATGCGCGCGCGCTTTGCTTTTCTTTAGTATGAACTTGTCACCTGAGCGCTCAAACAGGCGTTCTTCGACATTGTACATTTCCCACATGGGAGTTGGCGGGCGGAGGATGATGATAGGGATATTAGGGTCGTTGAAGCTATGGAGGAGGAAACTGACGCGGAGGGGTTTGGGGACTTGACAGATGTGTTTCTTTGATTTTTTGTTGTGGGTGAGACAGGGGAGGTGTGTGGTATTCTTGGGTGTTGGGGTAGATTGAGCGCTGTTGCGCTTTAGCAACATTTTTTTGATGGATTGCATGGTGAGATGATTTTGATTGCTTGTTTGAAGTGTGTAGTGAGTGTCCAGGACTTCAGAGTTGGGGCTTATATGGGAAAACAAACGAGGATTGATCTGCCGATGTGTATGGATAGAGTGGGCATTGTGAATTGAGACATGTGGTGATTGGCTCACAATGTCTGATGAAAATGACGTTGGTATGGGATCTGAGAATGTTGGTCGTCAATACATAGGGATGAAATTGGTTTTGTACAGTCATTGTAGGAAAGGTAGAGATGAGAAAATCGAGTACTGGTTTTGAGGAAATCACAGATGATTCGATCCGACAAGCTGCCTGGAGTAAGTGGAAAGATTTTGCAGGATAAGCTTTCATTATGTGCCGTCTATCGTCTTCTTCACCTCTGTTTCTATCCTTTGACATGCGACATGCTGGCTTTGTTACATGACAACAATCCTGGTCAAAGCAAACCATTTCTTCATTTCCAAGGCCTATGCAGCTTCCGTTATTCGTGCACACCTGTTTGGTTATGCGCGTTCTTCAGTCCGCTACAGCCAGTACAGTTGGAGCAGCTGAACCTGTCAGCCTCCTGTTCTAAACCGCTGAGACACATAGTTCTCGCCCTGCGGCGTAGTTTGAACTCACCCTGTACAGTCAGTACAACCTGTACAATTCCGACAATCCGTACAATTTTCGCAGTCAGTGCAGTTGCGAGACGAGGTGCAATCTGTTTTGCTGTCAAAAGACCTGTTTGGGCACGCAAGCAATATGCTTCAGACGATCCAAGGAGATATGTGAACTCAATACGATGAAGTCAATGAAACGAATCTATCCGTGAATATGTGTGACATGAAGCATGTATGAATACTAGGAGGTGACTTGCCTCTACAATCTGTACAGTTCTGACCTAATGTGTACAAGACGTGGGATCAGCTTTCGGTCTGGGAGTATAACAATCAGTTGCTTCACCTACAGTCCTTGCACCCGGTGCAATTCGTGTTATTGCGGTTTCCAGTATCTGTTTGTGACGCCGTATCCGAACCAACTGATGATGTGTTGTTACCCATTGCAAAAGATCGGTTATGGAAAATCCTTGATCAATGTAAGGGAAGACTGAGTGCTAAGAGAAACATTACTGTAAAACAACAGTACAGTTATATGTGAGAAACTCAGCTTCCCAGTAACGGTTTCTCATTGTCATTCTGGATGATAGAGGTGTGATATGCAGGTGCGACGTCATGTCTGACTGGTGGAGGATTCAAGAGGGGTAGCACATTGCGATAAGGAATCGGTTGGATGACACAGATATCAGATCTGTTATGCGATCTCAAGATGGCAAAGCATTGCCTCCAAGCAGTATTAGAAAGGCTGATCGAAGGAGTGATAGCTAGATAGCTTGTTTTGATGCGAATGCCTGCGGAAACCCGATGCGCCAATCAAGTTTATGCTATTGCTGTCAAGGATAGATAGTAAGTAAGATGGCGATGGTAGATTCTAGTGCACCTTGAATGTCTTGGTGATCCATTCTATCCTCGCGATTGACATTCATGTCGACCTTCGTCAGCTAAAGTCGATGTAGTCTTCGTGGATCATGAGCTTGGTGAAGGCTCCACAACAGCGGTAGCATCGAATACTTCTCAGACTCATTATCCTTGGGTTTGTGGGAAAGGCGCTATTGAGTCCTCGGAGTTCCAGATTGAGCAAGTTCAAAAGCGGAAGTGATGCGAACCCTTAAGATTACTGACTCGTAAAGGACCGTAAAGGTGCTCATAAGCGGTGTAGGATACGGCAGCCAAGATATCGTATAATGTCAGAATCTAACACAAGGTACATATACACAGCGGAGAAGAAACGCGGTGTAAGTAATGCACAAAGAGATATCGGTAGGTTAGTAATAAGTCTATTGACCATGATTAAGTCATGCGCGTGCCGCTTGTGATTGCCGGAAAAACCGCCGACCCCACCCTCTTTGAGCAACACGAGGTTATTGGCCCAGATGTACGTCGGGTCGGCGTTTGGTTGAGTACAAGCAGCGGCGAGAATCCATTTATTTATTAAGTAATGTTATTCCCGGATTTCGCCATTGATGTGAGTCTTCTAGATGTAAAGTTGCGCCCTCATCTTCATCTTTGGCCCTGGAACGTCAACTCCAATGGTCAAGAACCATGACGACTCGACGCACCGACGACGCAGAAATAGGCAATGAGGCAGCGAATCCTGCCAACGCCAATGCCGATATCGAACAAGCTTTGCCCCAAGAAGAAGCTGAGCCTCCAAGTGCACACCAGCCATCCGAAAAGCCTAACTTGCCTGCTCTTGCACGAGTGCTGTCACGCCGATCTGCAGTATCATTTGACCCCGGTCCGGCTCCCGATGGTGGTGTTAAAGCCTGGATCCAAGTGTTCTGCACCCATCTGACTATCTTGACGACTTTCGGCTTCTTCACTTCATTTGGCGTATACCAGACCTACTACGAAAAGACGCTTGGCATCGAGCCGTCGACAATATCATGGATTGGTTCCCTACAGGTCTTTCTCCTCTTCTTCCTCGGTACTTTTACTGGTCGCGCCACTGATGCTGGTCTCTTTCGCCCTGTCTATATCGCTGGAAGTTGTTTCCAGTTGCTCGGTATCTTCACTTTGGCGCAGTGTAAGAGCGCATGGCAGATTTTCCTCTCCCAAGGTGTCTGCCTGGGCATCGCAAACGGCTTACAATTCTGTCCTTCCATGGCTCTCGTCTCCACGTACTTTGTCAAACGCCGCGCCTTTGCACTTGGATTCACAGCACTGGGCTCTTGTACTGGTGGTGTTATCTTCCCAATCATTGTGCAGCAATGCCTGCCTAGCATGGGCTTCGCATGGACCATCCGCATCATCGGCTTCATCATGCTCGTTGTGAACATTACGACGATTGCCCTATATCGTACGCGACTTCCGCCGAGGAAAAGTGGTCCACTGGTTGACTGGGCAAGTTTCAGAGAGTTGCCCTATACTCTGTATTGCACCGCGGCTTTCTTCAGTTTTTGGGGCTTGTACTTTTCCTTCTTCTACATCGGGAGCTATGCGCGCAACGTCCTGGGGGTCAGCTATCAACAAAGTATCAATTTGCTCCTTGTGCAGGTTGCCATGGGATTTCTCTTTCGGATACTACCCACGTACTATGCCGATAAGATTGGGGGACTAAATGTACTGATTCCTTTTGCCTTTCTCTGTGGCATCATGATGCTGGCATGGATCGGAATCAAGTCGATTGGCACATTGTATGTCTTTGCAGCTATATATGGCAGCGGAAGTGCCGTCATTCAGGCATTGTGGCCTGCTGTCATTGGAAAACTGAGCCGCGAGATGGATCTGAAGAAAACGGGTGTGCGAATGGGCATGGCTTTTACCATTGTGAGCATGTCGAGTCTGACAGGTCCGCCGCTAGCCGGTGCACTCATCCAGATGAACAATGGCGACTATACATATGCAAACGTTTGGGCAGCCATGTCGTTCTTCGTTGGGGGTAGTTTGCTTGTGGCTACGAGGATATCTCTTGTGGGCTGGGACTGGAAGGCAAAAGTATAATCGAAGCAGCTGCCAATGACATTTACTTTTGGCGTTACGTGGGGTTGTCTCACCCTCCATATCCCTTCTTCATTCCGATTTGCCTGTCAGAACGTTATCACAACGGGATCGTAGTATAATAACCATGTTGATTGGATTGTCGCATCGATCTGGTGCTGAACGGGCGCTAAACCAGATACGTCAACCAGGCTACTTGCATAATTCAGTACCTCAGCATTCAGGTATGATAGACGTGCCTTTACCTTGACCCTTCTTGTCTCTTACACAATGACGCGTCGCAACACAAGTTGTCATATTCCATCCGACAGTCGCAATGGCGCTGAGAGTCTCCCGCGGTGGTCGTGGCAGAAGACGCGGTAGAGGAAAGACACAGCCGGTACGTGATGTTGGTGCAGACGCCTAGAAAGCCGCTCATTGTTTTCATAGTGGGAATGGGAATCATACAAACCGAGTCCAGAGATTTATGACCAGTTATGGCGTATCCGTAAAGAACCTGCCGTAGTTACCGCACAACCATCCGACGACTGCCCGATACCACACACACAAACGCGAATCCTTGATCGCCGACAGACCGAGGGCGCGGTAGTAAGAAATTACTACGTCGTTCAAATCACACGTACCGGCGACGGTGAGGAACAGAAAGTTACAGAATATGTAGACCTTAGTTGCATATTACACTACGTCTCTTCCGCCGAACTGGAACGATTTGAAAATGAGCAGTTTAGACTCGAGGCTGAGGCTGAGGCTCTTGCAGTACAGTCAGAAATTGACGAGCTGGCGCGTCGGCAGCTGGAAAAGAATGCAAGGGGGGCCAAGACCACTAGAGTAGGAAGCCGGATGCTCAGTGGACTAGGGTTACCTTCAGATGTACCAATGCGGGCAAGAGGCAGACCTCCAGGGAGACGCGGCAGAGGGAGAGGCAGAGGGAGAGGGCTGACTATGCGTCACGATGATTTGGGTGAGCAATTTGGCGATTCTACTGTGTTTCTGGACCAAGTAGCCCAGGATATATCTCCAGTAATTCCAGAAACCGATGATGAAGAGGACCAAGATTCGGACGCACGAACCCAACCGTCGCCAGGTTTGATGCGCTCGGCATTTTTTGCCAATAGCGCTCTGCTACTGTCACCTGTTACAAGGAGACTTTCCATTCCCATCACCTACGACACCCAAGACGATGAAGCAGAGGATTTACCTACACCCATTGCGCAACAAGGCCACGGACTAGACGAAAACCAGCATCGTATCAAAAGACTGAGACTCTCAAACCCAGACTCGGATCACGATACATCAGCACTGTCACCTCCACAAATACCCACGGAAGCATTCTCAGCAGCCCTCTTCTCCGACCGCTCTTCTGCCGTAGACGCAAACTCCAGTCCCGTTGTCATCGAGGATACCGCACCAATACCACCCAGCGATCTACCCGCACTAGGATCGCCCATGTTTGGATCCGACTCCGACTCCGACTCCTCGATTTCCGCATATGCGCCGCCAGCCTCCGCTAATCCCACACGCTCATCTCCATCTGTACACAAAGACGGGCTTAACAGCGACACTATACACATGACTATGGATGCTACCATGGTCGACGAGCCCAGCAAGGCAGATGGCGAGAATGATGAAGCCGCAGACGAATACGTGGTCGAAGCGATTGAAGAGCATTATCATGATGGGAATAAGACGTATTATTTGGTTAAGTGGGAGGGGTATGAGGATAGTCGGGATTGGTTGGCAGAAGAGGATTTGCAGGGTGCGAGGGAGGTTGTTGCTGAGTATCATGCTAAAATCAGGCGGAGGGAGGAGAAGAAGCCTGTGGCTAGGAAAGGCATGTTTTTTAAATAGATGGATTGAATTTATGGGGAGGTATCTTGGGTAGCAATATTGGTCTGGATATGTAGGGTGAGGTAAACATTGGATAGCTGAGATTTATTTTAATCCAGAATTATGCTAGATTCTTTACTCTTGCTGTGTTGTTTCTGAAAGGCATAAACACGAATTGACGTACTGACTACATATGTATACAGTTGGGGCGATGGTGTGGTATCACAGGCCAAGATGACGGCTGCGGTAAACGCGAGGCCCGAGCTTTACCCGTCAGGCACAGGCCGAGGTAGCATGTCACTCATGCCCCGGAGCCCCCATGCATCAACAACACACCATGTAAACGCACCCTCGTGCTCTGCAACGACAAACGACGCGCCCATCGTCGTTCCTTTAATACACTCATCGCGCACAATCACATACAACAATCAACCATGGCACCCTCACCCCCCTTCGCCTACCCCTTCGCCGCCTCGCCCGACATAATCCGGTCGCACCAAAAAGACGCCTACTTCTCCGGCGTCCTCCTCGAGCACCTCTCCTCCCTGCTCCGCAAACTCTACGGCGCGCGCACCGCGCACACATATCTCTCTGAAACACGCGTTCTCGGCGAGCTGCTCTACCTCAGTCTCACGACGCTAATTGGCAACCGCACGCTGGGCGAAGAATACACCGATATTGTGCAGGTAGAAAGCGAAACAGGCCGCTTACCCGCGCTAGGGAGAAGAGCAGGATATATTGTCGCGTGTATACTAGGGCCATATGTGCTAGGGAGGGCGTTGCCGGCGTTCAGGCGCAGAATACGTGCGAAGCTTGAGGTGAATTTGCGGTGGTATGCGCGACAGCAGGCGCGGGCGCAGATGGTTGCGCAAGAGAAAGGCGAGAAGTTGCAAGTAAGGAGGCCGCTGGGGATGCGGGTGCAGAATTACATACTGCAGAACCTGGATACGATCACATCGCCGTCGCCGGTGTATGCAGTGTCGCTTGCGACGTTTTACTTTTCGGGCAGCTACTATCATCTGTCGAAGCGGTTGTGGGGGCTCAGGTATATTTTCACACGGCAGGTGACTGAGGGGGATAATCGGGCTGGGTACGAAGTGCTGGGTGTGCTGCTGGTGCTACAGATGGCGGTGCAGGCGTATCTGCATTTGCACAATACGGTTACGGCGTCGTCTACGGCAGCAGCGGCGGCGGATGGGAGCGGTCATCCGCATGGCACGTCGGCGATTGTGGGTGGAGGCGCAGAAGTGTCGCTGGATCCGAATGCGTACAGCGTCAACAATGCGCTCCTGTTCGATGCTGCTACGCCGGCTGTGCCCACGGCTGCGGCGTCGGACGTGCAAAAGTGGACGCACACGCCGCCGACGGATAAGCCGCGGTACGAACTTGGGGACGAGGAGACAATGGAGTGGATTGGAGGAGGGAACAGGAAGTGCACGCTGTGCTTGGAGGAAATGAAGGATCCGAGTGTGACTACGTGTGGCCATGTCTTTTGCTGGACATGCATTGGCGACTGGGCGAGGGAAAAGCCAGAATGCCCGCTGTGCAGACAGGCGTGTTTGGTGCAGCACGTACTGCCGCTGCGGGGATGATGGACCAAATGTACAATGGGTTGCTTGACGATGACGATGACGATGATGTTATACATGGTACATTTACATATAATACACTACAATACCTTTTCGGCCTCGTCAATCAGACGCTCGACCTTGAAAGCACTGTCGCCTCTGGTGAACATGTCGAGCAGCTCGCTCCTTCCCTTTCCCTCGTCCGTCTGGACATAGAACTTTTGCATGCACATGATGAGCCACCTGGCGTCGTCGAGACTGACGCCGCGCTTCTCAACGACCAGGCCCTGGCCGAGGACAAGGTTGTGGCTGTCGGCCAGCTCCTGGTGGAAGGTGACGGTAGTGTGGGGACTGGCGAACTCGCCGCGCAGCTTGAACTCGGCGAGCGTGGTGAACATGAGGGTTGTTGTGTGGTCGTGGGGGTGGGCAAACTGCAGGTAGTGTAGCTCGACGGCCTGCTGCGTCTTGCCCTGGGCGTCGGGGGCGGCGTCAGGGTCTGCAGGTATCTCGCGGGGGATGGGGAGGACGAAGGAGGGATGCTGCTTCGCGCTGCAGAGGAGGTTGGAGAAGGTGCTTGCTGGGACGGCAAAGTGGATGCCCTGTGGGTTGTTTGCATGGCGCATGCGCCAGAGGGCTTCTATCTCCTCTCGCGTGTTTTCTTGGATTTTGTCGACGGCGAGGAAGGAATTGAGCGTCTGGACGCCTGGAGGCGGGGCGGTAGGGGAGCCAGGTCCAGCGCGGGGTGGTGGGGGAGGGGGCGACGATGCCTGTTGGCTGTCTGGCCTTGATTGTGGAGGGGTGTTTGGTGTTTGTCGCTGCTGCTGCTGCTGCTTGTGTTGTGGTGGAGGGGTCAGAGGTCCCGTCGCACCAGGCACAATGGCCTGCTTCCTCAATTCCTCTATCCGGTCCTTGTACTGCTCTTTCAGCTCATCGAGGTCACGGAGACCCTTTTCACGGGCCTTTGACTCGAGCTTGTCACGGTACTTTGCCAGGACCCGCTCCTGGGTGTCGTGGGTGACGAGAAAGCGCACATCCTGCACACGTGCCCAGCGACGTTGTGTGGCGCGGGGACTGGCGAGGGGCTGGCGCAGGGCGTGGCGCAGCGGGGGGAAGCGCATGGCCATGGTGTCGCGACCAGAACACGGGTCAGGGAGCACTGGTGGGTGTGGTGGTGAAGTCTAAAATAAAATAATGTTTTTTCGCAACAGCAAGCCTCTAGTAACGAAGGCCCAAGACTCGATGACGGCAGACTGGCGGCGGAAAGACGGGGGTTCTGATTGGTGGGCGGATGCAGGGCGTGCATCGCAGGCCCTTGGGATGCATGGATGGCCTCCAAACCAAGAGGAGGCCAGGGCCGTGTCCAAACTGTTTCACCACCTGGGCGTTCCTGCATGGCTGCATGACCGTTTGCCCTCTCCCGCCCGGCCTGCACTTAGTGCTCGAGACCAGAGAGAGACTACAGGGTCAGCCATCGTCGTGGTCACACCCAGACGTCGCCCGCCCTGCCGTGCCTCTGCTAGCATCGCAGCCCTGAGCCGGCCCCTCTAATCATCCCAATAGCGCTATACCCCATATTCCTCCCGGCGCCAGAGGAATGCGCCCGCGCATCACCACAACCTCCTCGCCGCCATGGGCGCTGTCCACAGCAAAGCCGACGATGCAGCCGCCCTGTATCTGCGCGACCAGACCAGATGTATGCCTTTGTCTTCTTCGCTTCTCTGCTCGTCTTGTCACCAAAACCAGGCTCCAGCTAACCGCCCGCAGTCTCGGTGGCTTCGCTCAACATCACCAATGGCCGCAACCGCACGCTGCTGAACGTTGCCCCCAATGCCTTCCCCGCCACGCGCTACACTGCGCGCCGCGACTTTGGCGACGACAGCGTAATCGAGTACATCCAGGTACGCCTCCCCCTGCCTGACCACCACCACCATCACCATCTCTCTACTAACTCCCCCTCTCCCCACAGGACCCAGAGGCAGTCCCCTCCAGCGACAGCCCCCCAGCCTTGCTCCTTCGCCTGACCAACGACGAAGAGCTCACCTTCAACTTCACCTTTGTCCTCCGCCAGCACCTAGCCGTGCCCAGCATATACAATGTCAACACTAATTCCGCAATCACCCCCTCGGGCCTCGTCGACACAAACATCAACGGCCTGACTTTTCTCTTCGCCTCGAGCTCAAAGGACCTTGACAACCTCGTCACGCGCGAGTTCCACGCAAACCCAAACCTCCACAAGAACCCCCAGGTGGAGCTTGTCGGCGACTACTCAACGGGCGGGCATGCCTCCGTCCAGTTCCAGTGGTCGTGGAAGTGGACCCCTCCAAAGCCCTCAGAATCCCGCGGCGGGGGCTGGCGCACCAGCTGCAGTGTCTGTATACACCCGCTCCTCCTCGCGCCTACAAAAACTGACATTTTCCAAGTTTGTCGAATACGATCAGCGAGCACACCGACTCGAGACACTAGCAAACTTTTCCTTTTGGGTCCAAAGTACTACAATTTTCCCCCGACCTTGCGCGTACGAGCATCCGCTGACGACTACAGACACGTCACGCCAGGTCCAAAGCCCCAAGTCGCCCACCCCGCGCATGGAACTTGCTGTTCCGCCCCGCCTTCGTGTACCCTCTGCCCAATCCATAGAGTCTCGAGTCAGCGACTCGGCTGGCGAAGATAAAGAATGGGAGGCCCCTCCCCCGAGATCGCCCATTTGCGAGCCCATACCAGAGCACAGTCTGGGTTTGGTACCCAGCCAGGCGACTACAGCATCGAGTGGAAATGTGCCCGTCAAGCTCGATGTTTCTCGCCCAGGCGAGGACCTCAGCCAAACCGATGATGGACCGCTATTCCGTGCCACAATGAAGTCGCTCGAGCAAAAGACTGGCAACATGCGCACGAGGTGGAAAAAGGTCCTGAAGCGCGCAGAGGCCGCCATGGAAGCCCAGGTTGGGTGCAACAATGCCATGTCCGATCTCATGGATGCACTTCGAGAGGCCTCATCGTCCAACGCCAACGCTGTCCAGCCTGCCATTGATCATTACTTTGACAAGATTGCAAAGGAAATCTTGGTGTATGAAAAATCAAATGCTACTAATATCCAGAAACTCATTATTGATCCCATCTACAAACTTTACAACATTGATATCAAGCAGGCCGAGACGAAGCGCAAGGATTTTGAGGAGGAGAGCAAAGACTACTACCAATACCTCGGCCGCTATCTTGGTCAGCGACAAGATACTTTGAAGGAGAAGAAGCGCGCCGAGACCGACTCCAAATACCTCGCAAAGAGACGCAATTTCGAGTTGAAGCGCTTCGATTATTCTTCATTCATGCAAGATTTACATGGCGGCAGGAAAGACCAAGAAGTTCTTTCCCACCTGACCCGATACGCCGACGCGCAGGCCAAGCGCTACCTTGAGACCGCCAAAAAGATTGAGACGATGCTGCCCCATCTCGAGGCGTTGACTTGTGAAGTTAAAGAGGCAGACAAGGAATTCCAGATTCAGAGGACCGAAAGAGAAGAAAAAAGACGCGCCCTCGAAACAATCAAGAAGACTTTTGACGATGTACCAAACCAGTCAATCACATCACCAGCAGCGTCCACTGCAACTGTGTCGAGGTCAATATCAAGATCCGAACCGGAATCTCTGCCTGGTCGAAAGAGCAGTATCGCTCCTGTATTTCAGAGTACAATGGCCTCTCCCATGGCCTCTGCATCTACGAGTATTCCTTCGTCTATAGCACTACCACAAAGCCCAGAGGCCAGCAAGACCAGTTTGGCAATGAACACAACACAGCCGGACAAGTTCAAGGGAATCAGAGATCTGGAAGAAAAGGACCTCGCTGCCATGGTCGAGGCCGGCTCGGGCACAGGCCGTAAACAGGGTCTCCTTTGGGCTCTCAGCAGACCTGGAAGCCATGTAGATCCAAAGGGTTTGAACAAACAAGCCTGGCATAAGTGAGTCTCCGTGCATCGTGTTACCACAAAGTCGAAATCATACTGATATGCCCAGGTTCTGGATTGTCCTTGATCAAGGCAAGCTTTCAGAATATACAAACTGGAAGCAGAGCTTAGAACTGCACATGGATCCTATTGATCTTCGGATGGCCTCAGTGCGCGAAGCACGTAATGCTGACCGTCGGTTTTGCTTCGAAGTCATAACTCCGCAGTACACAAGAGTGTATCAGGCTACCAATGAAGATGACATGAAGTCTTGGATCAACGCTGTCAACAACGCTTTGCAAACAGCTGTCGAGTCTGCGGGGCAATCTGATAGGCCGTCGACTGATTCGTTGCCTGGGCAAACCCACCGAGATATTGCATCAGTACTCACTGGCAAGAGTCCTTCCATGTCGAGCCACCGCAACAATTACAGCTCCAAGGCCCCTGCTCGACATGCCACAGTCGGCGATCGGCCTGGCGGCTATCGCCGAGATGAGGCGCCTGGGGACGATGGAAAGTTGCTGAAGCAAGTGCGCGACGCAGATGCCAGCAATAGAGTGTGTGCGGACTGCGGCACCGAGATCAAGGTCGACTGGGTGTCTATCAACCTTGGTATTGTCATCTGTATCGAGTGCAGCGGCATTCATCGGTCGTTAGGCACACATATCACAAAGGTGCGCTCCTTGACACTGGACGTCACTTCTTTCACTCCCGATATCATCGAGATACTCCTCAAAGTTGGTAACCGCATCAGCAACTCCATCTGGGAAGCCAAGCTAGATCCTGGCAAGAAACCTGGGCCAATGTCAACGCGCGAGCAGAGACTTCATTTTATCACATCAAAGTACGCAGAGCGAGCGTTTGTAGCGCCAATATCGCCAAGCATGTCACACTATACGAACCCAGAGGAGACGCTGCTAGCGTCTGTTAAGAAGAACGACATCCAGAATGTGCTCTATGCACTGGCATTGCGGGCCAACCCTAATGCGCGTGATCGCTCACGAGGCACTCATGTTGTATTTCTAGCACTTGCAGCAGCGGACCCAGCATCACCATCGGCCTCGGCATCACCAGCGACCTCACCGGGCATACCTCCACGGCCGGGCACAGCACAAGCCTCACGGAAAGCTTTCGCTGTGGCAGAATTACTGTTGCAAAATGGCTCAGAGTTGCCCATGACGCCCGCTCCTATCCCGCTGGGTCACTCAGCACGAGCATACCTTGACTTCAAGGCGGACCAGCGTGCAGGCAAGCTCCCTGCGCCCATGGCAAACAATCAGGCGTCTTCTAGTGCAGAAAAGATCCCGCCTCTACCACCAATTCAAGCCGGGAATGGTAGCTCACCATCGGAGAGAGCGCGAGAACGAGAGGCGCGAATGCAGAAGCGGGTATCTGCAGGTGGAAGGTTGGTCAAGAGTCCAAACCTGGATGCAGCCGAAGGTAAGCGCGGCTTACAAGGATAGCCGATGCTCATGTATTTGTGATCTTCTAGTGTATACCTTCCCTGGGTGGCGTGCGGTTTTGTGCGATGGGCGTCGACCGGCTAAGGTGCGAGTACGGATAGACGCAGAGAAACGACGGAGGCCATTTAGCGATATTGGATTGGGCGTGTTGCCTCTGCCTTTGGATATGCAGAAATCGATTTCTATGCAACTGTTCTCGTTTGTTTTTGTTTTTGAATTGCATATTGTATCATGGCGCAGAGTGGTTGTCTGAACTTGTACTATCCTAATGACTATCAGGTCGATGTATGTAAAGAGGCCCGTGCGACCACCCCCACTAGCGCGCACCAAAATTACCGTCAAGTCGCCAAAGTCACCCCCGCAGGCACATTACTACCGCCATCGACACGCACGCACAGGCAGCAATCATGGCGTCGGCATACTCGAATCTGCCCATGGACGGCGACGATGAATTCGACGAGAGCCAAATCGACTTTACCGACATTGAAGAGCAGTTCCAGGTCCGACTGGATGAGGGGCTTGATGCCTTTGTCGTAATTGATGGACTGCCAGTGGTGCCCGAGGACAGCAAGGGCAAGCTGATCAAGTTCGTGCTGCGCAAACTGAACAGCGTGGGCAAGGTCAAGGACGATGGTGTACACATGCCCGTAAACGACTCAGGCAAGACGGAGGGGTACGTTGATTTCGACATGCGCACCGCGCACATTCGCAGACGGTGACCAAGGCACTGACGGCGACACAGATATGCCTTCGTCGAATACAGCGCGCCCGCCGAGGCTGTTGCAGCCGTCAAGCAGCTCCACGGCACTCCACTCGACAAGAAGCACACCATGGCCGTGAACAAACTCACTGACATCGACCGCTACGGCAAGGAGGGCCGTATTGATGAGGAATACCACCCACCCGAGATTCCTCCGTTCGAGCAAAAGGAGCACCTGAGGTGGTGGCTCGCAGACGAGGACAGCCGCGACCAAATCGCCATGTACCGTCAGGACAGGGTTGGTGTTTACTGGAACGAGAAGGAAGATCAGCCCGAGCAGGTTGTTGACCGTGAGAACTGGACAGAGTCCTTTATCCAGTGGTCGCCACAGGGTACTTACCTCACTTCTATGCACGCTCAGGGTGTGCAACTGTGGGGAGGCAAGTCATGGAGCAGGCAAAAACGATTCGCGCATCCCGGTGTCAACCTTGTCGACTTCTCGCCCGGTGAGAAGTACCTCACCACCTGGTCGCACCGCCCACTCCAGGTTGACGAGAACCACCCCGTCCCATCTCTCTCGCTCGAGGAGGATGGCAAAAACTACATCATTTGGGACATTGCCACTGGCAAGCCCCTGCGTTCTTTCGCTACCATTGATGTCCCTGGTGGCACCGATGGTGAAGGCAACCCCATCAAGAAGAAGCTGCAGTGGCCTACCTTCAAGTGGTCTTCGGATGACAAGTATGTTGCACGTATGACCCAGGGCCAGTCCATCTCCATCTACGAGCTTCCCCGCATGAACCTACTCGACAAGACATCAGTCAAGATTGAGGGTGTCATGGATTTTGAGTGGGCTCCCGCTACCCCACGCAGAGAAGGAATCAAGACCTACGAACAACTTTTCTGCTACTGGACTCCTGAACTCGGCAGCAACCCCGCCAAGGTCGGACTCATGTCAATCCCATCCAAGGAGGTCGTGCGTACCCGTAACCTCTTCAACGTTTCTGACGCCAAGCTGCACTGGCAATCAGAAGCCGCATATGTCTGCGTCAAGGTTGATCGCCACTCCAAGTCCAAGAAGTCGCTTGCAACAAACTTGGAAATCTTCCGCGTTCGCGAAAAGGGTGTACCGGTCGAAGTTGTTGATTCTATCAAGGACACTGTCATCAACTTTGCCTGGGAACCCAAGGGCAACCGTTTCGTGCTCATCACCACTGGCGAGGTTATTCAAGGCGCTGCCGTCGGCCCCAAGACCGCTGTTTCCTTCTTCGCTACCGAAAAGCTAAAGGGAGGAGCCGTTGGAAACTTCCGCCACATCCGAACCATTGACAAGAAGAATAGCAACGCCATCTACTGGTCGCCTAAGGGACGATTCGTTGTTGTCGCTGCTCTCCAATCGCAGCAATCTTTCGAGCTCGAGTTCTGGGACATGAGCTTCGACAAGCCCAAGGACGAGTCTGAGAAGGGTGACAAGGAGGTCAACGCCAACCTGCAGCTCATGGATACTGCCGAGCACTATGGTGTTACAGACATTGAGTGGGATCCTACAGGTCGCTATGTGGCTACCGTTGCTAGCGCTTTCCGTCACCGTGTATGTATAATGATTCGATTACTGTTTTGCTTTGCTAATGCTCTCTTAGATGGAAAACGGTTATCACCTGTATGACTTCAAGGGCCAACTTCTCCGGGAAGAGGCTATTGAAGGCTTCAAGCAACTTCTCTGGCGCCCACGACCCCCGACACTGCTCTCCAAGGAAGAGCAAGCTGAAATCCGCAAGAACCTGCGCAACTACTCCAAGATCTTTGACGAACAAGATCTTGCCAAGAAGAGCTCAGCCAACAAGGCTGTTGTGGAGGCCCGTCGCGAGATGCTGCAAGAGTGGCATGCATGGAGGGAACAGGTCACCCAGAGACTCCGCGAAGAAGGTGCAGACCTGGAACTGGCGTTCCTCAAGGGAGAGACACCTGGACAGGCAGAGGATGGTCACCAGGAGGAGATTGAGGAGATTGTGGAGGAGATTATTGAAGAGAGCGAAGAGGTCATCAACTAGGATGATGCGAGGACGTAGTGTGAGGCGGGCTGGACGTACATTAGATGAAACGATGGAAGTCAGTTTGCTGAACAAGCATGTGGTTATGAGACTTGTGACATCTGCTGTATATGTGCGTTGTTGAGTAACGTGGTCTGGACTGAAGGGTTGATGATTTCTGAGAAGTGTATAGTGAGTGATATTGAGGTGCTGAGCGAAAAATGTTGGACTGTTGGATAATGAACAAGATGTTTTGATATTAGAGCTGAATGCAAACATACAGGCATGTGGTTAGATGAAACAATCGCTGTAGATGTAGTCAACATGTCCAACCATATGGCACCAAATAGAAAGACAGGACATCAACTCCACACCGACGGTCTCTTCCTCGACTCAAGCCTCTCCCTATACTCCCGACAACTAATCTTGATCCCCTCCTCCAACCCAACCTTCGCCTCATACCCAATCAATCTCCTAGCCTTCTCAACAGAAACATAGCAATCCCTACACCCTTCACTCACCATGCCGCGACTCAAATTCGCCTCTGACCCCATGGCCCACGCCGTCCACTCCGCCGCAATCCCCATCCAGCGCGCCAACACCACCGGCAACTGCACCTCAAACTTGGGTACATGACCGAACTCGCGCCAAATCGCCAAACAAAGCGCTCGCGCCGTAACCGGCTCATTGTTCGAAATGAACATTGCTTCCCCCGCCGCTGTGCGCGCGGTAGATAGCAAGTTCTCCAGCGCCAGCACGTGCGCGTGCGCAACGTTGTCGACGTAGACGTAATCTTGCAGGTTCGTCCCGGGACCGAGGATAAAGGGGGTTTGGCCTGCGTCGATGCATGCGTGGATCGTCGGGATGCAGATGCGATCTGTGGGGCCGAAGATGGGGGCTGGACGTAATGCGGTGGTTGCGAAGGAGGGGGAGTTTGAAGATAGGACGAGGGATTCTGCGAGGGCCTTTTTGGCGGGGAGGGGGGGAAAGGGTGAGTGGTGGGTTTGGTTGTTGATTTGCAGGGGAAAAGGGTGGGAGAAGAAGAAGAAGAAGAGAAAGGGAGTTTTACAAGGGAAATATGGGGATAGAGGAAGGGATGTTTAACATACCTTACTCTGCCCGTAAGTCGTATCCGTGTTTCCCAGCGGCCACGTCTCATCTGCGTTTTTGAAATCCCGCGAGAAATCATCACAAAGTACGGCGATACTACTGGTGTACACAAACGCCTTGACGCCGTGCTCTTTACTCGCCTCTAGCACGTTCCGCGTGCCCTCTACATTCACTTTAAACACCGTGTCGCAGTCTTTCATGCTGTACCGCCGTGTGCCCACGTAGAAGATGCCGGCCGTGTGGATTACGGCTGTAGGCTTGGTTTCAGCGAATACTTTGGAGAGAGAGGGGACATCTAGAATGTCGCAGCGCATATAGCGCACGCGTGGGTTGGAGCTGAAGGTTTGGGTGCCGAGGGATGGGAGGGAGATGTCGAGGGCGGTTACTGTGTATTTTGTAGTGTTGAGGAGGGCTGAGATTATGCTTGTGCCTAGGAAGCCGCTTCCGCCTGTTATTAGGATGTGGGGGGAATCCATTGCATAGGAAAGATAATTGCGAGCTTTGAAATGTGGTGGGTTTAGTTTGGCGGATCCAAGGGAAATGGGTTATTAACGGTGTTCTGGAAAGTCGCGGTAGGATCCTGGGAGTCTTGCCAGCTAAAAACTCTTTCTCCAATTGGTTTCTCCTTCTCTTTTGGTGATGATTCAATGTTTTGCTGAAAAGTGGGCGCGTGTAAGAAATCAAATGTTGGGTCTGTTATGATGAGGTTACAAGTAAGACCGCTGACCCGTTCGAGCCGGACCATCCTGCCGTCTCTCGCCTAACCCCATCAGGCTCGATGCGTATCCTTCAATGCGACTTTACATATGAAATCCGTGTTGTTATTTTATTTGAAATTTTATTGAAATTTTATGATGGTGCCGAGGTTCCTAACGTGACATTTATATCTGGCTAGTACAGCACAGAATTGTGACGACAGTATTGTTCACGTTGAGCGCCTGACAAACAAAAGTTATTTTTCCATTTCAACCAAATTTTCAAACACTACAAAAATTCACCACTCAACACCACAACAATGAAGTTGAACGAAAATGAGTGTATGCAATCTAAGATCATATATTTTTCTTTCTTTGAAGTGCTAAACCCGTCCTAGGCATTCTTACCCCGCGCCTTCTCCTTGTGCCATACTGCTCACATCATGTCCTAACCTACCACCAATGGATGCAAGACGAAGTACATTATCCCCGCATTCGTCCTCCAACCCCGTACTCTCTCCTTGAAAGATCAGTGGTATTAAAAAAAGTCTCTAGGACCTACAAAAGCTCACAGCATCTGAGCCCCTCACGCTACCAGAAGAGTACTCGATGCAAGAGTCTTGGCGACAAGATGCCGATAAATTGACGTTCGTCATCTGCACAGCATCAGACCACTCAGCATGGGCTGAGAAGAAGCAAGTTATACCTGGACTGCAAGACGCGCCCGAGTGTATGATTGGAGATGTTGTAAGTTAACCCCACCACGCTTGAAAACAAATCCGTATAACACGTGAAAACGCTTAGAATCTCTTTTTGTATCCTTATGACGACGACGATGAAGACAACGTACAGAACGAAGAGAAGAAAAACAGCGAAGACTTCGTAGTCGGCGAACTAGAAATCATGATTGCCCAACCATCAGCTCGAGGAAAAGGCCTCGCACACGAAGCACTCCAAGCATTCATGTGGTACATTTCTTCCTCCCTACCCTCTCTCCTCGCAGAATACACACAACAAGATAAGCAAAGAAGAGCAAGCTTGCGCTACCTACGCGTCAAAATCGACAAAGACAACAAGCGCAGTCTGGCGCTGTTTGAGAAACTAGGCTTCAAGCATAGTACGGGCCCGAATTACTTTGGAGAACTGGAATTGAGAGCAAATATGCTAAATGGGGGTGTCAATATGGAGAATGTCGAGAAGCTAGTATATGGCTCTTCATAAGCGCAAAGAACGAAAGCTGGATTCAATCTGGCCTCCATGGAGTGCAGAATTTCAGATTTGGTATCTAGATATGGGCAGGAAAATGCGAATTGTACAGAAAAGAAGAACGCCCTGAAAATGCAAAAAGATGCTTTTTTGCCCCGGGACTACGATTCTTCGTCTTCATCCTCATCTTCGTTTTCTTCATCAGCCGCGCCATTCATTAGGCTTTTGCGCGGCACTTCGAAAACGTAGATGCCGTTTTTGACTTTACCAGACATCCATCTTGCTAGTCTTGGTTCCTTGCCTACTGCTGCTACAATGCATAATCCGTCTTTACCCCTGTCGCCTCGTTCCTGTATTGAGAGTCCGTTGACGATACCTCGAATCAGAATTGGGCCATCTTCACTGTTGCCGTCCATTGTTGCATCCTCATCGAGAGGCACACGTCCCACCTTTCCAATCGGCTCAATACTCCTCTTGTCGTCGGTAATTTTCCAAGCACGTATCCAGCCATCCCAGCTCGCTGTAAGGACCAGATTGGCAAACGGCACCGTGGCGAGCGCGGTAACGTATCTTGGTAAACGCGGTCCCGGTTTGACCGAAGTAGTAGCATCGTGATTAGCTGACATTTCTTCTGGCGCAAGTGGTGGATCACGGCCATGCGTAAGCGGGTAGGTGAAAAGAGGCTTCTTCCTGGTAACCGACCACAACGAGAGGGCGCCATTATCGGAAGCTGTAACGAACAAGCTCGCGTCAAGGAGGCCAACGCAGTCAATAGAGCCTTCTGCGTAAGCAATAGGTGTATCGTCGTCGTCAGGGTGTGTGCTATTGGTCATTCCTTCCTTTGCATCTTCTCCGTCAACATTTTTGCCAAAGCGGCCTTTGCGCAGCTTATCCATGCCCTTTTGTCTTGCTGTACCACCGCCATGGAACACCAGCTGGTTCTCCTCGACAACCCTCCATAGACGCGCAGTGCGGTCTCGGGCACCGACACTAACACACGTCTCTTGATTGACCTCCAGTCCACCAGCAACCCCAATGACGGCGTCTTGGTGTCCCACAAGTGTCTCGATGTATGCAGACTCTGGTGCACTCCACACAATAACAGCGCGATCTGCTCCACCCGAAAACAATTGGTCGGTACCTCGTCGGAAAGAAAGCGAGAGGACAGCATCACGATGGCGAGTAAACAGATGGCGGGGTGTCAGAGTATCAGCATCCCAAATAATTAGTCGGGCATGCATGTCGCCAGTGGCCAGGTATTTTCCAGAATCCGATATGGCAATGGACACAATCTCGCCAGTGTGGCCTAAGTAGGCCCTGTCACCCTTCTTATTCTTGTTGCCTTTGCGCCAGAGGAGTCGCTTGGGAGTTCTACGCGGTGTGATATTAGTTGGACGAGAAGCATCTGGCGCGTAGGATTTTGGGTCGGCAATCTCCCACTTTTCTACGACGAGGTCCTTGCTGACTGTCCACGCATAAGGTAGCTTGACGGCACAGCCTGTTATCGCCTTTTGTAGACCCGAGTAGCCAGCAGCATGCGATGCGCGCTCAAAGTCCAATTCGTCGGCAATGGAGCGGTAGATCTTTCCCTTGCCCTCTGCGACATCCTCCTTCAGTCTTTCTGCGATGAGGTCCTTGTCAATCTGCTCAGCGTCGAAGCCCACCTCTTGCTCGACCTCGCTGCGGATGTTTTCCAGATAGCGCTCTGCCAATCGGAGGCGCTTTTCGGCAGCCGTTTCATTCTCGTCCTCGGAAGTCTCGTCACTATCGTTCTCATCGTCAAAGACGGGTCCTTCGTCGTCGTCGGAGGCGTCGCTGCCGCTAATAGAGTCTTCTCGCTGGGCGCGGCGGGCATTGGCGTCGGTGTTGCGCCTCTTGGGAGCGCTGGATGTAGCTTCGGATCGCTTCCGTTTCCGCTGCGAGGCAGGGGTGGTGAAGAAGGAAGAGGACATGATGTCGAGGTGGTGGTTGTGGGCGACAGAGGCCCTTGGTGGATTCCAGATGCGACCTGAAAAATGGTCGGCCAACTTTTTTTCCAACGCCGACTGGGATGGGAGCTGCCACCGCCGCGGAGGTCTTGGCGCACGTGCACCTTGAGCGCGCTCGTTCCGCCGCCGCGTTGGGGCACATCATCGACTCCATCACCGCCATCATCGTCGTTTGTTACAAATCACCTTTGCTTTCCCGCCCCTCCTCAGTTCCTACTCCCCGGATCGAATCACTGCTCATATCCGGCTGTCACCGTCAGACAGAGGCACCCACTGCAGCAAACCCGGCCGCTGTCCATCTACGCAGCACCGCCCTTCACTTATCCACCACCCACCCACAGAACATATATAGCCCACCATGAGTGGCAGTGGCGACCAAGAACGCGAGCATGCGCTCGAAGCCTACAAGTCCAAGCTCCTCGAGTCAAGAGAGTGGGAGGCCAAGCTCAAGGCATTGCGACTAGAGATAAAAGGTCTACAGCATGACTTTGACGTATCAGAGGAGAACATCAAGGCGCTGCAGAGTGTTGGTCAGATAATAGGCGAGGTGCTCAAGCAGTTGGATGAGGAGCGATGTACGTTGTATCAGAGACTCCGCCACCCTCAAATGCTAACCCGGTGTCTGCAGTCATTGTCAAGGCATCATCCGGCCCCCGCTATGTAGTCGGATGCCGGTCAAAGGTCGACAAGGCCAAGCTCAAACAAGGAACACGTGTTGCCCTCGATATGACAACCCTTACCATAATGCGCATGCTACCCCGCGAAGTCGATCCCCTCGTCTACAACATGTCGTTGGAAGACCCTGGCCAGGTCAGTTTTGGTGGAATTGGTGGTCTGAATGAGCAGATTCGCGAGCTCCGTGAGGTCATTGAGCTGCCACTCAAGAACCCTGAGCTGTTCCTGCGAGTCGGTATCAAGCCACCAAAGGGTGTACTGCTCTACGGACCCCCAGGTACCGGAAAGACGCTGCTGGCCCGTGCCGTGGCGAGCAGTCTGGAGACCAACTTCCTCAAGGTTGTTTCGTCGGCCATCGTCGACAAGTACATTGGCGAGTCGGCGCGTTTGATCCGTGAAATGTTTGGTTACGCAAAGGAGCACGAACCATGCATTATCTTCATGGACGAGATTGACGCCATTGGTGGTCGACGTTTCTCCGAAGGTACATCAGCAGATCGTGAGATTCAGCGAACCCTCATGGAGTTACTGAACCAACTGGATGGTTTCGACTACCTCGGTCAGACCAAGATTATCATGGCAACCAATCGACCAGATACCCTCGATCCCGCTTTATTGCGTGCTGGACGTCTTGACCGCAAGCTCGAGATTCCCCTGCCAAACGAAGTTGGACGTCTGGAGATTCTGAAGATCCACTCTGGAAGTGTTGTCACAGATGGTGAGATTGACTTTGAGAGCATTGTCAAGATGAGCGATGGATTCAACGGTGCCGATTTGCGCAACGTCGTAACAGAAGCGTAAGTACTCTTACTTGAACTAAGAAAAACAGACAATGAATACTAACATTTCCCAGCGGTCTCTTCGCTATCAAAGACTACCGAGACTCAATCAACCAGGACGACTTCAACAAGGCAGTCCGGAAGATGGCCGAGTCGAAGAAGCTCGAGGGCAAGCTAGATTACCAGAAGTTGTAGATTGGGATGCTAGTCACATTACGGCCGTGATGAGGGTAGAGCGATGGGCATCATGTACGATAGTACGGGACGATGACATGGCAATATTAATAAATAAACTGCCCAACTTCTGTTTGAATCTGCATGCATTATCACGTGGTGTACCTGAGTGACGTATGTTCACTAGCTTAGAATTTAAGACCGGCCATAGTAACGCACGTGACAGCGCGCTCTAGCGAAATGCAGGCCCGGCCGTCGAGTGTGTAGGACGATGTTGGGTAAACACGCCCACGGCATTTTCCTACAACACAATAGATATGGACGGATCGCAGTCGCCGACTAAGCCAAAGCGCTCTCGCGCCGAAATGGAGGCCGAAAGCAGCATATCTGCAAGGGAATCTGCAGCGCAGGCTCACGAAGGTACCATCAGCCCGTGTTGTATGCGCGCAACTCTCTCTAACACTATGTTGTGTAGATGATACATCTTCCGACGACGGTGACTTTGGACCTGCCCTTCCTTCCTCTGCGCCGAAAAAGAAGAAACGCAAACTGCCGTATGAAAAGCTCTACGTTGCTGCGCTCCCTGGCGCAACCCGCTACTCCAAATCACTCATGCACCGCGAACAACTGTGCTTCACCACATTTACTCACCACACCGACTTTCTCATCACCAGCTCCATCGATGGTGTTGTTAAGTTTTGGAAAAAGGTCTTTGGGGGAATCGAATTTGTCAAAGAGTTTCGCGCCCACAGCGGTGAGATCAAGTCTGTCAATGTAAGCGCAGACGGTCGCAGCTTTGCAACTGCTGGTGCAGACAAGACTATCAAGATCTTTGATGTCATCACATTCGACCTGCTGGCTATGTTGACCTTGGATTATGCCCCTCTGGCTGTTTGCTGGCTGCATGGCCGAGGCGCAAGCTTCCCCCAATTAGCTGTCAGCTCGGAAGAGAACAGTTGGATCCGTATATACGATGGCAGGGGTGAGAATCCGGAGCCGCTACAGGTCTTGAAAAGTGTGCATAGAGCGCCTGTAAGTCTGATGGCGTACAATAACGACTACGATTGCGTGGTGAGCGTGGACCAAGGCGGCATGGTGGAGTACTGGAGGCCAAATGGAAATTATGAGAAACCAGACAATGTGTGGTCTTTGAAGAGCTCGACAAGTCTGTTTGAGTTCAAAAAGTCCAAATGCGTCCCTTCCTCGCTCACCATTTCGCCTACTGGCAAGCAATTTGCTACATTTTCGTTCCCTGACCGCAAGGTCCGCGTGTTTGACTTTGCGTCGGGAAAGCTGCACCGAACCTATGACGAATCCATTGAAACGATGGCGAGCATGCAGCAGGCCGGAACTGCGGTCCAGCATCTGGAAGACATGGAGTTTGGGCGAAGAATAGGCATCGAGAGAGAACTTGACCAGCCATGGGTGCGAAGCCGCATGAATGTCATTTTCGACGAGACGAGCAATTTCATTCTCTACGGCAGTATGTACGGCGTAAAAGTCATCAACACGGTGACCAACAAGCTCGTCAAGCTCTACGGCCAAGAAGAGTCGATCCGCCCGCTATGGCTATGTCTCTACCAAGGCCAGCCCGAGAAGAAGGGAGTCGTCACAGTCGAAATGGCAGCAAGTGAGAACCCGCTGCTACAAGAAGCCGAAGCCCGAGATGCCATGCTGGTATCTACAGGATCCGGCAAAGTCCGCTTCTACATGTACACCAACGACTCAACCGTCTCCAAGTCCGTCCGTGACGTGCAAAACGAAAAGCCACGCACCGCAAACACGAACAAGAAGAACGACGAAAAAGCTCTCGCAGCAACCGGCACAACAGCTACCCTGCACACAACGTATGGCGACATCACCATCCGCCTCTTCCCCGACGCGGCCCCGAAAGCCGTGGAGAACTTTGTCACTCACGCCCGCAACGGCTACTACAACAACGTCATTTTCCACCGCGTCATCCGCAAATTCATGATCCAAACGGGTGATCCCCTAGGCGACGGCACGGGCGGCGAAAGCATCTGGGGCAAGGAATTCGCGGACGAGTTTTCAAACCTCAAGCACGACAAGCCGTATACGGTCAGCATGGCGAATGCGGGTCCCAATTCAAACGGAAGTCAGTTTTTTATTACAACTGAGAAGACGGTAAGTTTTGTTTCCATCTCTCTCTCTCTCTGTCCCCCTTCACCCCCCCGATACGTGTTTGAAGAGTGTGATGAAATACAGAAAGCTAATTGTGTAAAATATAGCCGTGGCTCGATAACAAGCATACAATTTTTGGGCGCGCAATCGCAGGCATGGATGTAGTGCATAAGATTGAGAATACAAAAGTGTACAAGGAGAAGCCCGAGGAGGATATCAAGATTATTAATATTTCGGTTTCTTGATCGAGTTAAACCAAAGGGACGCTGGGGGAGACAAAAAAAAGTTAAACAGTTCTTGTAAAGAATCTTGACGAGAGAATGAAGATGATACGTAAAACAAAAGCTTCGAGTTCTCTCGCTTATTCTCATTCTGCAACGAGCAAAATATCGATACGTGGCATAACTATATATATATATACTCTGGAAAACCCGATCCATGTCCATAGGGAGATGAGGGGAGAGGAGGGGTTTTTGCACAAGAAGACGAAATGAAGGTCAAGTGAACAAAGAAGTCATCATAAAATCGCTTTCACCACCCAAATTCAAGATTGTCTATTGAATATCCAAATTCGACACCAAAATGCAAGTTTGCCTTTCTCCGTCTCTCTGTTACTCTTCGAAAATAAATCCCCCCCCCCCCCCAATCATGCCCGAACAAAAAGAAAAAGAAAAAAACGCCCGCAAGATATATGGACCCACAGATACATAGTTGACCAGTTTGAACAAGAGAGAAGAAAGAAGTAAGAAGCAAAAAACGCTTTCAGCACAATTTGGCTGTCGAAAGATATGAAAACCAAAAGAAGAACAAGAATGAAACAAAAAATATCTGGTATCATATTCATACGCCCCAAGCGCCGCCCTCTCCCATATTGGCGCCTTTGAAGCAAAAAAACCCATCAGGAAAAAAAAAACAACGCACTTTGATATGTGCAAGCAAGCCATGAATGAAGATTCCGCTCAAACATGAGTAACAAGAAGTAGAGCCAAAAAGGAAGCAATGAAGCGTCTCATGTAGAAGTTGTGGAAGCGCCGAACCGATGCAATGCTAGATGGAACGTTGGGACCTGACGTGATATATATGTGTGTATGTGCTTTGTGCTTGTGCAATTTCTTTGTTGCACTTACTTTGCCGCCGCTGGTGAAGGCGAGTTGCGGCCGACAGGGTGAGGCGAAGGAGCACCGGTGATTGAAGAACGTTTTTGGGTTTTGAGAGCATCGAGCTTCTTTTTGAGCGCCTTTTGGCGGCTCTTCATTTGTTCGAGAACTAGAAGAAGTTAGTTGGGTGGTTATCAATAATCATGATTGGGAAAGACACGTACGCTTTTGTATTGACCTTCGGTCTTCACCGTCGAGACCATTGATTTCCTCTGCGTCGGATTTGTGACCTGGTACGTCTTCTTCCTCCTCGAGGACGGCTTGAAGCATAGTGATCGCAGTCCAATAGTTGATGTCGCAATCGGCCAGGTTATGACCTGTGAGCTCGTCGATGGCTGCTTGACGGCTCATCTCAAGAGAACGGTCGTACAGTAGCTTTTCGGCAGTAACCCCAGTGGTAAGCAGGATATTCTCAGCAGAACCCACGGCAGTAGCTGAGCCTGACGCTGCGGACTGGTTCTGAGGATGGCTGGGGTGGTCAGGTGGCAATTGCTGCTGTGCTTGCTTAAGCTTGCGAGCAACAATTTCTGATTTGACACAGCACTCGTTGAAGCGATCTCGCATCCAAGAAACGACCTGGCCGAGCTTGGCGTTTGTACGACTAGTTCCTTCAAGCCCGCTATGGCGACGAGTCCGATTCCAGTAGCTTCCGGTGAGATCCATGGCCTTGTTTAGCATCGCGAGTGTCTTAACGAACAAGACCAGGGCTTCCTCCGAGATGAGGAGAATAGTGTCAGGCGTCAGATCTTCATCGTCTTCGTCGTATTCGATGACATCGTTGCTTGGCTTGCGAGCAACACCTGTGGACCCGTCACCCAAGGCTGGGTCACTTGGTGCAACAGGGACTAGTTGACTGTACTTGACTTCGGCAAAACCATAAACAACGTGGCTGAGTTGTGCCAGATCCTCGATCCTTCGAACTGTGAGTGAGTCCTCATCTTTGCTGACCATCTTGCCCCCATCACCAACAAGTAGTATACTGCTTTGCGCGGTGGGGTATGCTGGGAATGCCGAGTATCCCTGGGGCGGCGGCGACACGCCTTTCATGATGGGTGGTGAAAGGCCAAGTCCTCGGATGTTGACCATGTTCATGGCCTTGGATAGAGCAGAAGTTGCTGTTTCAAAGCTGGGCCGGTATTGTCGTCGACTGTATGAGCCAGTGCGTTGATGTGTGATTGTGGGTTTTTGCTGGATCTGGATAGCTTTTGAAGGCACTGCGCCAGTAGTCGATGTGGGAGAGCCTTGTGTTGTCGACCGTCGTTTGATTGGGGTATCCCTATACATTGGTCGATCTTGCTGTGTTTGTGGGCTGTTGGCAATTTCGTCTGCGAGAGCGTCAATCTCTACACGACGCTTCTCCACAAACACAAAACCCTCGTCTAAAGCGTTGTCCTGTGCAGCTCGCTCAGCCGCCTCTCGTAGGACTTCAGCTCTTTGCGGAATACGCTCACGGTCAAGATGCTCTTTCAAACCGACAGGTGGCGGTGTTGGTTCATCGCGAGAGTATCTACGTCTGTGACTAAGTGCGGCACCCTGGTCTTGCAGGGTTGTGGTGCGTGCTGGTGCCGTTGCAGCATTGCCAAGAGGTGGGCGTCGATGGTCGCGGTAAGATGCGCGCTCCTCACTAGGATCGACTGGCGTAATGCTGGGCCTTCGGGCAGAAGCCGGTATCGGCGGGGTGTTTGAGTAGTTTCCAGAAACTGGTCTAGAGCTTGGCCGCGAAGAAGGCCTGTTCCTGGGCAATGAACCATACGGGCTATCCGAGGCTGGGCGATCCATCTCGGCAGGCGCTTTCTGAGCTTGTCTAGGTTGCTCAATAAGCGGCTCCAACGCAGAGGTTTGGAGGCGTTCAGAAGCCTGCATGGATCCAGGCAAATCCTCGTCCACCATTCCGGGGATCTCGTCGCGAATGACAGTGTCTGCAAAGAAGGATTCATAAGACATGCGTTCGGTTGGCTTCCGCTTGAGCAAGGCGCGAATCAGGTTCTTCATAGCGCGGGTGCAAACAAGGCCTTCTGGGAACCGAACCTGGTCCTTGCGTTCTTCAATCTTGCGCAGCAGCTCGACGTGGTTGTTGGCCCTGAAAGGAGGACGAGCGCACATCATCTCAAACAGCACGGTACCTACAGACCACAGATCAGCTTTTGCGTCGTACTTTTCATATCGCAGAATCTCGGGAGCCATGTAGAGCGGAGAGCCACATAGCGTTTCCGCCAGCGATGTTGTCGGCAGAATCCTAGCAAAGCCGAAATCAGCAATCTTGAGCATTGGCAGAGAGGCGATTCCAGTGGCAGGTATCAGAGAGTTCGCGCTAGCGGCGAGAGGCATTCGTTCGAGAGTTCCGCTTTGCGAGTAGAACATGGAGGAGGGATTCAAAAGCAGGTTCTGTGGTTTTAAATCACGATGAATGTAATTCTTGGACCTTAAAAACTCCAGGGCACTCGCCATCTGCTTGGCAAAGTGTCGGACGACCACCTCATTCAGACCCCCGACAGCGGGATTGGGGTACTTTTCTATCATGCGCTGCGTCTGGGGGTGGTTGACCAGATCGGTGCGCTTCTTGATGAAGGCCGACAGGTCTCCAAGCTCGCAGAACTCCATGATGATGTGCATGCGCGAGGGCGCTTCTTGACAGTCAATGAGCGATACTATGTGGGGGTGGTGGAGGCTGCGGAGGATGGTGATTTCGGAGACAAGGTTGTCCTTGAGCTTCTTGTTGAGCTTGTTCATGTTGACCGACTTGATGGCGACCGATTGGCGCTTTTCCTGTTTACGGTCGTCTGGTTAGCGACGGATGCCTATGTCTAAGCACAGAGAGGGGAAGAGCAGCAGAAACAGCAGCAACGTACAATGTGAATTCCACGGTAGACTTCGGCGAAGCTGCCCTTGCCAATGTGGTGCAGGCGCTTGAACTTGCCAATGATCTGCTCTGAGCCTGGGGCAGCAGATGAGGATGGGGATGCCCCCGAGCGGCGGGGGGCATGGGAGCTTGGTGAAGCCATGGCGGCACGGGGTGTGCTGCCTGGCTCGGCGTCGATGGTGGATGTGTTTGTACTACGGGTGGTAGTGGTGATGGTGGTGGTTGATGTAGTGGTGGAGGAGGAGGTGGTGGTGGTGGTGAGATGGGTTGTTGTTAGGTGTGGGGTGGTTGGGAAGCGGCTACCAGCGCAGATGCAGGTACAGGGTAGGCGTGAGCGAGTTGTACATGAGCTGTTGGGGGGTAGCGGGGCGGTGGTTGTGTTGTCGGGACGCGGAGGTGTTGTTGGCTGTATGCGGTGCTATCGATAGTGGTGACGGGGACGCGAGGCGAGACGCAGGGTGGCGGCGAGACGTTGGCGCGAGGTCCGAGGGTTATGGGCAATGCACGGCGACGGGGATGGTGAAAGCGACAGCGACAGCGACAGCGACAGCGACAGTAGGGAAGAGGAGGAGTGGGTAGAGAGAGGGCAGTGAGCAGTCGAGTGGCTTGGGAGGTTTAGGTAGACAGACGGTCGAGTGGAGGGTCCCCCAGGCTCGACTCGCAGTCATGGGGCAGGGCTTAGCGCGCCGCTAGCGCTGCCTTGATAGGACTGATAACGACGCGTGCGAGACGAGGCGCCTCTATGGCTGCAGCGACAACACGAGCAGCCTATCGCCCATGTCTGGCACACAGCAATGTACTCGTCCGCTCTACTGATGCTCGTATGCCCGTGTGGCCCGCCCCGTGGTGCCCTCGTCGAGTCCGCCCTTGGCCGTGAGCACTGCCTTGGCTGGCTGGCAGCAGGCGACAAGAGGGGCCTCATCATGTGGCCGGCGGCATGACCACAGCGCACGCCATTCGCCTGGGGCATGAGCAAGCAGCCTGCCATGTCTGCCATCTGTCGTGCCCAGCCCGAGCAAGTCACTAACGAGCATTACCACCATAGCTTATCGCTCGTCTACTTACTTGCACTACCCGCCGCCCGTCTCATCCCTGCCTCGGCACCGTCAAATGGCCGCCGCTGTGACTTGCAGCTAGTGTCCCAGTTCGCGACGGAGCGCTAGCCAGCCCAGCCGTCTCCAACTGCTACACTATGACGTAGGAGCCCTGCTCTCCTCCTCACCACACACACACACTGACTGACACCCACTGACACCCACGCTCATGCGCATGCTCACACGCCTGGCTGCTGGGTCGGCAGACTCTTGCAATTCCATATATAGCCCTGTCTCTAGTTGAGCCTCCTTTGCCTCAGCACCGTACCGTACCTGCATGCCACCTGACGCCATACTCCTCAGGCTCCTCACAGCCTGACCCCTCTCACAAGAACCCACAGCACCACTGGCACAATCACGTTGTCGTTGCCGCCTGTGAGCACCGCCTCGTTCAAGCTCGCTCCTGCTGCGCAAATACCGGCTTTTCCCATCGTCATCGCTGCCTCCCTCACCCAGCTCCCCACTGTCTTTGGCACCATCTGACCACTCCCCCATCCAAAGTACAGCCATGCCTTGCCAAACACAAGCCCAACAGTCACCGCAACCGCAAAGGCCAGCGAGCCCTCCAGTGACTTGCCACCTGCCCATGGCCATCTGCGACGTCCGTAGCGCCTCCCGATGAGCGAGGCTGCTGCATCTCCCATTCCGACACAAACCACTCCTGACACCATGCTAATGTCTCGGTTCTTGACCCCCCACTCTCGCCATGGCTCCCCCCCACTCCGATCGACTCCCGCCAGAGATAGCCAGAGCGGAATTGCGCAGCCGATGAGAAGGAAAATGTGCGAAACCACCACTGGTCCGCGGAGATCCCGCCCGTCTACATATGGCGTGAGGAATCTAGCAATCGGCTTCGACAGCGGCGGAAGCTGCGAGGCGCGGATCAGATCCAGCAGAATGAAAATGGCCAGTACAAGTGCCAGAGCTAGCGCCACAAAGCATGGGTCGACGTAGATGGTCGGCAGCAGCATGGCCACCATGGTTCCGTGAAACACCTTGCGGCGCGTGTCCACCTCAACAACAGCAGACAGTGAAAACACTGCAACAAGGCCCGCCGCAATGGTGCCCATGCAGTACATGCACAGCAACAGTCGTGTGTTGGCTTCGCCTAGCAGCACAAGCCCAACCCGTTCGCCAAGTGCCATGTCCTGTGCCCCTGCTGCCATATCATCCGACATTTCTCTCAACGGCAGCGCTATCCACCAGTCCAGGTTCCACTCAAACACTTTCCATCGCACGCTCGGTAGATTGCCAAACAGGTAGCTAATCGCCCATCCAAATGGCTCCTGCCCATACAGTGCCCATTTGCTGACGGCATACCGGATCGGGCCCAGTATCAAAATCACAACTACTAGATAAAAGTACGCGGCATACAGCCACTTCCGTAGTGTTGCTTGTGCAGGTGTAAGCTCCAGGTATGACTGTGCAATTGATCGGGATCGTTTTCGATGCGAGAATCGATGCGGTGATGCCTGATTTTCAGCAGAAAGAATAGGCAAAGTGTTCCTACGCGTGCGGCCCACGCCAAACGTTTCCTCGCTCTTTCCATTAATCTTGTCAAAAAACTTCTTTGTCGTTTCGGCAGCCGACTGTGGCTCCGCTCTGCCCGTAGACAAGATACCTGCAGTACTGCGTTGAGGTATGTCAATCTTAAGGCCTTCGGTCTTATTTCCAAACATAGCGGCGTCGTCATCGTCATCATCTGCATCGCTGTCGCCATTCTTCGCTGCAGAGCCATGTCCATTGCGTCTGGAGCCCAGGCTCTTATTCAATATTTCCAAAAAGCTTTGACGAGCCCGAATTACCTGGCCTGCGCGCCGGAGCCTCCACTGTGGGATGCGTGCGAGCGCAACCCCCCACTTGAGCACCTTGCCGCAGCATACAAATACTCCCAGCCCTCCCATCCAGAGCAGAATGCTAAGTATTATCGCCTGAGGCGAGTCGGAAAATAAAAGTAAGTTGATGAGCCCAATCGACAGCAGGTGCAGCTCCGTTGGCAGAAGGCTCGTTGTAGTGAGGTAGTACAAAGGCGGCAGTAGTGCCTGATGTAGAGGAAACAGACAGACAAGCACTTCTGGATCCAGCCCTTGGTGCGGAGGCGGTAGTTTGAGCTTGTACGGCTTCTCTGCAGTCAGTCTAGATGGTATATCGGTATTTTCAGCCGCGATTAGCGGCAGAATGGAAATTAACCAGTGAAGTGATGAATACCCCAAAGGTGAAGGGTTGAAAGGAATAATTCTGGCTGGCAACGCTGCCAGTCCAAGCAGGATATTTGGAAGCAAAGGCTTGGGCGATGAAGCAAAAAGTGAAATGGCGATTAGTACAGGCAGTATTGGCGGGTATAGTATCGTAGCCGGATCGAAAGCTGCCGGTACATGGATTCGCCGGTGAAGTGCAAGATTCGAATGTTTCCCCCAAGAATAATAGAGTAGTCGTAGCGGATATAGACCAAGTAATATCACTATAATAGTAGTATGCGTGAGCAGTTCTGCTGAAGCCGGTATTAGCCATTGTTCCATTGATATCTTGGTAAATGACGCTGACCTCTGTGCCATGACAGCAGCTCGCTCCAGCACTCGCATCCATGGACGGCAAGAATGCCAATGCCAGCGAGCAAAGCCGTCTCGGTCGCTCGCCTTACCATTTCATTCCGCCGCCGTTGGAGATACTTTTGCTTGGCTGCCCTTGCCTCTTCGTCGAGGTGGTACGCGATCCCTTTTCGCTTCCCCCGATTACCGCCATTGGCGAACTCGTCGGAAAACTTGCTCCCTTCATCGTCGATTTGTGTGGGTGTGAGCAAAGGACTAGCCCATTGCCCGCCTTCCCTGGGCCGCGCATTACGAAGTCCCTTGTGGAGGCGCAGAGGAGGCGCAGGCAGTGCTTTGACTAGGTTGTAGCCTTCGTCGTCTGCCTCGGTGCCGCTTTCGCTGGGTGATTGCGACACTGGTTCTCTGCGCTTTGCACCATTCTTGCCCAGTCTCGCGTCGGCATGACTTGGGGGTTCCAGGCCTAGGCTATGCGCTCTTTCAGGATACTGGCCGCGTATCTCGTCCCCGTGGCGTAGGTATGGGTGTGGTGACCGCCGGAATAGTTCGACATCCTCTATGTCTGTAGGCGCAAGTGCGGGGGCGGCCTGGTCTACTTGTCCTGTGTCTTGCGACATTGCGCGGGACGCCGTTTCTTCTCCAACACTTGTGTATGCCGCCGGTAGTCGAGTGTGCGACTCGGAAGTGCGAGGCAATTGTCGTCAATGCATGGGCAATGGCTACCTGTGGGTGAGCGGCGACAGGAAGCCAGTCTTATGTCGAGCCGTGGCTGAATGCAATCGATGGTAGCCGGATGTTCTGAAGAGCAATAGACAGAAGGAGCGAGCGGTTGGAAACGCTGCCAAGTGACGCAAAAAACCAGCAATGGTACTGTCAACAATCATGGGCCGCCAATGCCAGAAGACACAATTATCACATGTTCGGGAGGCCTGGCAAGGCTGACGTTGCAGGTCCACTACGCGTCTTCCGACTCCCGCCTTGGGGGACGTGTGCAAGCCCATCGAGCGCTTGTCTCCTTAGGAGTACATTGCCATCCCCCCTGCACAATCCCACCCCGCAAACCATATGACGCAACACCTAAAATAATTACTATCAATTTATTAGCCTTTGGCAGCCATCACATCACCAGACATCACCTTGCTAAAATAATAATAATAACAATAGACAGCCAGGCTTGCAACAAATGTGCTGCCATTTCTTCTTTCTACTGTTATACAGTTACTTTATCTATTTTATTTGAGCTCCGGCTGTCTAGTTGCGCAGGCGTCACAAGGCCCTGCTTGCATCTAGTCCGACAGGCCAATGTGCCAATTACTGCAGGTACTTGTGTTCTTTAAGCCAAGAACTCACATCCTCCGAATCTCGCACAACCCATGCAGCCTTTGCATTGATACTGTCCAGGCTCTGAGAAAGCGCCATATCAAAGCCCTTTGTGCTCTTGTTCTTGAAAAAGGCCTCAATGTCCTCAACGTGCTCACGGTGCGTGAAGCAAGACGTTGTGA